ACCCGCCGAGGGCGCGGGGCAGCGCGAGCTCTGCACGCAGCCAGGGCCCCGGGCGTGCCCGGAGGGACACGGCGCCCCCCGCCCGGTGCACGGCGGAGGGAAGAAGATGGCCGTTGTGATCCAGTATAAAAGCTCTTTGTTGCACCAACACAAAAGCCCAGCGCACGCAGCACTTTCCGTCCAGGGCCTTCAGCAAATGCAGGGAGCTCCCGTAGGCTGGGGTGAACGGGGGGGTCCCCCAACAACAACAACAAAAAAAGAAAGGGGGAAACTCAGGTAAAAGGGGACAAAAAGTGCGGGGCGAGAGGAGGCAGCGCAGACTGCAGCCCCGGGGGGGCGGGCGCCCTCCGCCCGGCGCCCGTTCCCAAGGAGGAAACCTAATCCCAGCAGGTCCGCAGCCACCACCAAACACAACAAACCAGTCGGGCCGATGGGCCCGGAGCTGCAGCAGGTCTGTGATCACTTACTTGTCCGTCTCTTGTGACATGTTTGATCCAATGAACTCTCTCCCCTTTCCCGGTGCCTCAGTCTCTCTGGGGAAACTGGACTTTCAAGTCTGTGCAGGTGAAGGTGTGTGAACGCCCGGGACGGCAGAACCAGAGCTACTGGTAATTCCGCTTTCCTTCCCCCCGCTACCTCTCCCGCCGCCGAGGAGGTCGGACAGGTAGAGCCCCCTCCCCCTGGCTGCGGAGGAGGCCGGAGCGGGAAGCCGCGGCCCCGCACCCCACAGGTAACTTTCTCAGGAGGAGCCGGATTCTTGCACTCGAGGCAGGGCCGAGCCGCGAGCTGATTGGACGGAGGCGCTCTCAGGTGAGCTGCCATTGGCAGAGGCGCGCTCAGGTAAGGCCCCTGCCGAGCTCCAGGTAAGTCAGTGCTCGGCGGGGCTGGCCCGGGAGACCTGCGAAGAGAGCTGCGCTGGGAGGAGAGAGGAGAGGAGAGCTGGTCTGGTCTGGTCTGGTCTGGTCCGGGTGAGATCCGAGGTCCGTGCGGGTCTCGTCTAGGCCTGGGCCGCTCTGAGCGTGTCTACACCACGCTAATCCTGCTCCCCGGTGCAACAATCACCTCCCCAACCTGCACACCGCGTGGCGAGGAAGGCTGACGCCGCTGCCTGCAGGGAGAGGAAGGATCGCGGCTGGCTACCAGCGTTTATTGTCCTCTAAAGAGGGCTGGTTGGCAGCAGTGTCACTAATGCTACCCCATGGACATAGCGGTCTGTTCCCTAATGGCATCTCCCCTCCTTCAGCCTCTGACCACAAGATCTGCAGCCCTGATCAGGCCAAAAAAGGGCACGGGAGAAGTTCTGCTTGGTTAAACATCACTGTGCAAGCTTGTTTGCACCCTGAGATAGGTGAGCAGCTTGCCTTGGAGCTTCTCCCAGCCAAAGACTTCTAAAAGCATCCAGTGCTCTAGTCACCTCAGCCCCACACATTGCTTGCAAAGGCAGCTGCCCCGCGCCCCAGCAGCACCTACTGCCTGCTGCTGCTGTTTCCCATGCCATGTGACATTCCCAAAGGGAGCAGATCGACCAGGGTGCTGTCATTCTTGCAGAGGCAGGAAACAAGAAAAATTCTGCCAGCCTCGAACAGAACTGCACATGGTTTGGAACAACCCAGTTATAAGCCCGTGGCTTTCACAGCGAAGAAGACATATCACCGGGAAAAAAGATCCACCAGGGCAGGAACAAACAAATACAGCTGGATTTTAAGAATGACTAATAGCAGCTGGTGTGGGAGATTTGGCACCATCTCCTAGGCAAATTCAGCCGTCCTAGGGGGAAAGTAAGAACACTAGAAAGCAAAGCTTGTTGTCCTGCTTTATAAACATAAACTTGTGAGAGCCAAAACATGCTATAAAGCTAGGCCCTTATATAACATCCTCTTCCACAGGGAAGAAACCTTCACCTGCACAGACTTGAAAGTCCAGTTTCACCAGAGACTGACACACCAGGAAAGGGGGAGCTTGGTCTTATTTCACAGGAGGATTCATTAGGTGAAAAGTGTAAATGGCTTTTTGAATCCTGGTATCCTTTAGTGAAAGGCTCCAGCTCCTCTTTAGAAAGTGAAGTGCATGAGATTAAGTTCTTCCTAAAGCATTTTACAGCCTGAATTCAGCATCAGCCTTGTTCATACACTGTTTTTTAGTTTTATGAAGGCGTTTATTGAAGAGGGTGTTCATAGAAATAGTGAATGTTTCCAGCAAGTATTATAGTAGATTCAGCTCTGTTCATTCTCTGCAATTACAATAGCAAAAAGGCTTCCCGGAAACCAGTCGGGGACAAACCTGAGACTAAGGCCTTGTCTATATCCAAAAATTACTAGCCAAATTCAGTTAAATCAGCATATGCCAGATTTAAGTCAATTAAGTCCACAGAACAATTTTCATTAGTTTCATAAACTTGATTTAGACAACTGATTTTTCGATAAAAACTACTGAAACCTGAAATACAGACAGGGCATAAGAGTTACTCACCCACACAGGAAACAGAAACAATACTTTGTAATGTGTATTTCCAATCCAAATTATCAATGCAGATTGAATTCTGAATAACAAATGCTGGCAATAAATTGTGCATTCTCCTGCCCAAAATGTATTCATAAAACTGCTTCTATAAGTAGGATAACAAATTAGAGAAAACCCAAAGTCCGGACAAGCAAAAGAGAACATGGATTATTCATTACAGCTGACTCCTTTCTAATAAGAAATTCTGGTGCCACCATAATAAAACTGCTTGAGCCTCCCAGGGTGTGGGTCTTCAAAAAAACAATAAATTATGAACACTAGCCTGATTTTAGTCCATGAACACTGTTACTGATTGCAGTGTGGCCAGGATTTCACCTACTGGGCCCAGAATATTTTTACATGATTACAAGAAAGGCAAGGATTTTTCTGGCCCATTTCTTTTCTTGGACCAACTACATAGTTGGGATAAAGTTAGACAAGCTTTTGAATGCAAAGCATTCTTGAACATAAAATAAGCCCATGATAAGGATAGCCTTCCTTTCCTTTTTTATTTTTGTATTACACTAACTTTTCCAATGTGATTTTCATTATCCACAATGAAGTCTGTAGAAGCAGAGTAAGGCCAATGACCAGCACTTTTGAACATCCAACCTCAGATGGAAATGCTGACATTAGACTTTACAGGAAAAACATTTATCTGATCACATCTGCAATTCTGGATCAGGCCCAAATTGTAATTTAAACTAAAGTTTGTTGTCCTTGTGTTGGGGCGCAATACGAAGCTGTCTTTGGCAGTCTGTTCTCAGGAGATTTCTTTAGAGTGAGCTAACCTGGAGACTGAATATGTTTCCACCCTCACAAACAAAGTGGTCCAAGGTCAAAGCTCATGGTAAAGGTGAAAAATAATAGGTTAGTGTTCCCTCCCATTTTATGGACATTCAAAATAACTATAGTTATCTTCTCTATTCAGTTTGGAGTTGTTGGGTAAAAGAAAATGTACCCTGAAAAATACCAGGTTTCTTTGGTTGCAAGAGGTTTTCTGCTCAAAGCAGAAGACTGAAATCAAATTTTATGTGTGTTGCTTTCAAGCTCTAACTGAGCAGTCAAACAAGTTCTGTCTAGTCCAGTCTTCTGCTCATTCTCCACAATCTGCAAGGTCTTTATAAGTTATATTTGTCTTTGTCACTGAAGTGGCTGGAAAACCAGTTAACAGTATTTTCCATCCAGACCAAATCTTGTTCTCTTATACTATAAAAATAAGCCATACATTGCAAAAGGCAATGGCTAAGTGGTCTATACTTTAAAATCTATGGCTTGTCTGTGGAGCCTACAGAACAATTAGAATGACAGTTTTATTTACTGTTCCAGTCAACCGCTGTTTTTCATACTTTGTGTTGGTTTGCTGGTTTGCATAGCAGCCGCTAGTTTTGCTACGGTATTACTGCCGTAAAGAGCCAGCACAGAATTCAACTGTCTATGACTTTCTTACCTTATGTTTTCATTACTTATTTCATTTACAGATAATATTTGTGTTGTTTGGACTTGCAGGTACTGGCTGGAATACACAGGACATGCAAATAAGGTTTAACTTGGGTTACTAATTGAAGTCAGTACCTAAATTGGTTTTGAGGGAACTACAAAAAGACTACCAGGTAGATGGATGTTAAAGATACATATTTATATCCAAACAACATTATAAAGTTCAGTGAGAGAACAGATGTTGGACAACTCCTTCTCTTAGTATGAAAGGATTACTGTATTTTTGCTTGCACATTGCAATATCATTGTCAGCTGCTGATACAAACTGCATGCAAGTTCAAAGGCAGTTGCCTGCCTACTAATTTTGTGACTTGCACAATATAACATTAATCCTTCCTATAGATTTCCCTTTGTAGTCATCTTCTGTATTGAACTTCTTACTGACATTTTATTTATGATTATTTTGTCCATGTTTCTTTAAGCCACATATATAGATTTTCATCAGTCATCTGAGGATCAAGGTCTAACTCATTAACTATACAGATAATTTTAGCCTAGTCTCTGTGACTGTTTGGGGGTTTTTTTTGCCAGACAGAATAGTGAACTAATTTCTTATTTACTTGTAACTATAATTAAAAAAATTAAAAACCTAAGTTAAAAATATAACTTCATTATTTTGATGTTTTCAAACAAGCTCTTCAAGATGTATGTTTTCCTAATATGCAGTATCCATGGATCTGTTAAACCACACAGAAACTCTGCAGTTTGAATTCACCAGAATGATCTGCTTACAATCTGTTTAGCAACTTCATGCCCTTTAATGTTTACATATCAGATGTGAGTGCAGAAATGCGATGCAATAGAGGACCACAGATCATCAAATATTTCCTAGCTATAGGACAAGATATGAACCTTTGCTATTTTCTCTGTAAAATGATGATTTGCATCTCTTTTAAGGTAACTTTGGAAGTCATTTGCATAATACAGTAAACAAAATAAAAGTTGGTTATGGGCTGTTTTTTGAATAAACGGGTATGGAATTAGTGTTCCTGAGAGATGCCAGATATAGAACACTGGTAACTAATGCCCTATTTATCCACAACTCAAAACAGCAGAGGCAGAAGCAGTGCTGAGGTCTCTGGTGTTTCTATCTAGAGCTTGAGAAGCCATTTTTGGAGTTGAAAGTTGTTCAGTCTCCAAAGCAGCCACATCTCCTGCCTGTCTATTAAGCTGGCCAGTGGGAATGCTCAGTCAGAAGATGGATTGTAACATTTCTGCCACCTCTGAACCACATCTGGAGAGCCTCTCTGAAGGGTGACATGCCTACCTGTTCCTGCCCTACATGTGCCAAAGCTTGGAAAGGAAGCAGCATGACCTCTTCAAACCAGTCCTGAGCATAGTGCATGACAGCAGTGCTGCATACATCTCAAATGTATTTATTGGTATGCACTCAGAGCTGCCTTGAAGTAGTTGCATGGCATTCATTCTAGGGATCTGGCAAATGTGGAGCAGGAACAAGTAGGTGGAATGTGTCTCATGGCACCACTCTCAGATACACCATTGGAGGTAGTCGCTGATAGACAGTAGCCGTAAGCAGTAGATGACCAGTCCATTACGCGCCATTTGCTCACATTCGTGGAACATCTTAGATAGCTTTTCTGTAGCTATTTTGATCCATCCAATAACTGTTTCTGTAGCAGGAGGAGAGGCAGGGAGGCCAGCCTAAGCACCAAGGTGCAGGAAAGGAGGCCAGGGAAACACCATGTATCTGGGTCCAAGAAGGCAGTTCTTCTTAAGCGTTTCCAGGGATAACTGTTCTTCTGGCGTGGTTTAGTACCCTCCGAGGTGTTGGGGCTTACAGCACACTTTATGGAAATGGGAGGCTCCTCCCTAGCTTGCTCCTGTGGCCATATGGCTGAGGGCAGGTGAAACTTGGCAGCAGCTGAACCCCAAGCCTTCGGGCTTGGACCTGCACGTAGGATGCCTACCAAAAGCTTTGGAAATATCTGAAGCCCCTAGTGGGGATGGAGGATGTTTGCTGGTTGTAGGGCCACTTATGGTTCAGGAATGACTCACAGATTGGGACTTGATTTGGCTGATTTGAGTTGGAACATGAAAAATTTCTTTACAAAAACAAATAAACTTTCTGTATAATTATATTTCAAGGCATGGAAGTGTGTAGTTAGGGTACCCATACAACTTTAACACTGCCCTTTAATGATGCTGTGATGCAGTAGGGAAGAAAAACATGTCTTTAAAATCAGTTTAATCTAATCTGACAACCATAAACACTAGAATCTTTAATTATAATGAGTATTGTGTTCTGTGCCAACAGGGTAGAGTTGAGGTTGTTTAAGTGGTCTACCAGTAAAAAAAATGCTCTCCCTGCACCTGTCCAGGTTTGATTCAGATTTCATACACAGGCTATGAGAATCTTTATTTTAGTCATCAAGTAGAAAATCTTCAGAATCATGGGCCAACTTCACACATGATCCTAAGTAGTGCTGTTAGTTGATCTAAACTATGACAGGAAGAACCTCAGGAAAAAGAGGCTTTAAGATCTCTACCTTTTTAAATGGCAGAAATATTTAATGAGCTTATTTTCCCAAAAAAACTTTTGAAGGCAAAGCTGTTTCAAAGCTGCCACAGAGTCCCTTCAGTTGTGTACATGCCTCCAACATTTGTCTCCTGGACCTGTGATTAATATTCTCGTAATCCAGATCACAATGCACCTGATGACTCCACTGCTGCAATAAGCTGTATAGACTGAACCCTACATCTGCACAGAGCGCATTCAAAAGCTCAGTAGAAGATGAAGGTCTAATAATGAATTTCCAACCTGCATGAAAAACATTGCCATGACTTTATTAAAAAAACAAAGATATAAAAATATCCATTTGAAATAGTTTGACTGGGATGGTTTAGTCAGGTATGATTTTGCCTTGAGTAGGGAGCTGGACCCACTGCTATGAAGAGGAACTTCTGTATCACTTGCTAGGTTTTTTTTTCTGTTGGCATTTTAGTTGTTTTCACTATCATCCAGCCGTACTTTCCTATGATCCTGTGACAATCAAATGAATTTTCCCAGGACCTCTTTTTGCCCTAATATCATGTCCTAAAACAGATAAATTCTGTCCATGACTCTTTCTGGCAGTCTACAGTCTTTCATTCAGGGGAACATGAAGGACGGAATCTAAATAAAAGCATGTTTACTTTCTCTGCACTTCAGAAAACATAGTAAACAGTCCAAAGAGTCTCAGGAAAAAGCTTTTCATTCAGCACAGTTTAAATCAGCAAATAAAGCTTTAGTTGTACTGGCTATTATTGTCCCACTTAACTTTATAAAGTCAATACTATGAAAAGGGAAAAAAAAAGGAAAGTGACCCTTGGAAATGGCCATTTTGTAATAAAATACCTGGTCAGGGCCCAGAAGCAGTCCTAGAGGCATGTAAAAAAGTATCAGTAACTTTTAAGCAATGGCAGGATAATACTGCCCACCTTGCCTTTATAATCATAGATCTTTACACAGCTGCCCTCTGAAGCAGGCTATTTTACTTGTGGGGAAATGGATGCATCAAGGTTAGCCAGTATCACAAAGGGAATTGGTGAGAACACAGAATTCTCCTGTCCCTTGTTCTTAGTCCTGTAGTAAGGACACTAGCCTGCACCTCTTGGAGCTTCCATGTAAGTTTTGTTATTGCATTTTGCACAGGAGAATGCTAACACTTTCTCCCACATAGTTTATCTTGTTCTACTTATATAAGCTGGGAGTATCTAAGAAGAACGCTTAGCAAATTATCTTCACCTCCCCACTAAGTTTAAAAAAAAAGCATAGAACCACATTCAGTCTGGCTTCTGGACAATGTAGCATGAGCGCCTGCTGAAATAACCCTCTTCACAGGCTTTTTCACAGATTACTGGTTGCCTTGCTTTTGTTTTTAAAGATCAATACTTTTGAGGACATTTGGTCACACTGGGTGGAGAAGGCCCTAGTTCAGG